TTTCACTTCAGAAAATGAAAATAAAGCGCGAAGCTATGTATTTGAGTACATGTATCACCATCACATCACATCACATCGCATCGCATCGCATCACCCCACTGAGATTTATGTAGCGAGTAAGAGAAGCGATGTAAGAACTACTTATGTAGTACTTAACACATGCTCCCCTTCCATCTAATTTGCGAAATGATGTCAACTCCCCATCTTCTTCTATCTACCAAAGGGAGATAAACTTCCCTAAAGGGGGGGGAAGAAAAGAGAAAGATAGTTTAATAATGAACCCGTCCCCCTTTTCCACGTGTATCATCCCTCCGAGTATCACATCACACCCCCTCCTTCCTTCCTTCCTTCCTTCCTCCCTTCCTCCCTTCCTCCCTTCCTCCCATTTCTACGCAAGATAGAAATAGGAACCCATAATCCATAACCTACAACTCATCTAACAACGCGTAAATAGATCTCACACGAAACTAAAACTGAAAATTCCCACTCACACTTTTTTAAAACCTCACAACAAAACCTCTCTACCCTCTCATCCACGAAATCCCCTCCTAAGCATACACATACACACACACCACATCACACCACTATTCCAAAATCAAACTCAATGATCAAGATTCCATCCATCCATCCATCCATCTCATAAACAGGGAAAAAAAACATAAACGACCAAAGACTCTCTAAACAATTCTAACTCTCGAAATTCTCATGGATGAATATTCAATCCAATCCAATCCAATCCACTTCATTTCTAAACCACCCTCACATATAATATAATATAACATAATATAATGTAACATAATATATTATTGCAAGAGCACGAAAACTTAAAAAAAATCCCAGTTACCCTCCTCCCTACCATCTCCTTCATTCAGTCATCTCATAACTAATTTTCATCTCTAGATCTTATTAGAGTAATTTGGCAAGAAAGATGATCAAGAAAGAAATAGGTGCCGCAATGATTGAAACTGTATGATGAGTTCGACAACTCTCATTCTGACATCCTTTCCTTCAGGCATATAGTAATCAAATCCACAGAATGGATGTAAGTCTTCACTAGAGGACTTCGGATTTACAAATTTTCAATCCCGAGTTGTGACTTAACTCTGGATGAACTTGTCGGAGTATGATCACAGAAGAGATAATGTGACCCCAAAAGTTTTTGTTGGTCACGTCCCACAGGTAAAGCATGATTTTGTTCATCATGTAAATTTGGCTTTTCATTTAGCTATCATAAATATGAGGAAAAACCACCATCCGAATATGTGTATGGGAATCCTTCATGACTCGTCGTATCTATCTATCAATTTCATGCCGTCATACCAGATATCTAGTTATTCATTTATTGGCGACTAACACACCAATTTATAGCTTGTTAGGAGCGGTTTGGGTAGTTGGCCATTGGTAACCAGCTGCGTCGCTAAACTTGTATCCGTAGGAAGAGGTGAAGTCATCCAAGACGGCGGGTCCGCGGGAGCCTAATATTAGATTAGTTTTTTGTTGGTTATGAAAGTATAGGGGTGAATAATGTGAGTATTCCTTACCGTATGGGTATTCCATGGGAATAATCTCCTTGTTGTCGTCGAGGTAATGTAAGAGTGGGGTGAAGATTCTCCAACTTGCATCAAGCTCATCATCACGAACAAAGTTGGAGTGATCACCCTTAAGAGCATCAAGAATGAGGGATTCATATGCTTCTGGGATCTTGAGATCAGAGAATCGGCGACGGTAAGTCAAGTCGAGTTCAGTGACAACAGTTTGCATGCTCAAACCTGGCAACTTGGAGTTCATCTTAATATAAACACTCTCGTTTGGTTGAATGCGCATAACAAGCTCGTTTCTTGGGATATCTTTGAAGATACCAGATGTGACATCCTTGAATTGAATTCGGATCTCGGTCTTTTGCTCGTTAAGAGCCTTACCAGCCTTCAGGATGAATGGCACACCGTCCCATCGCTCGTTCTTGATATAGGCAACCATAGCACAGAATGTGGGGCACCTCGAGTCCTTTGGTACGGTGTCGTCTTCCTTGTAGGAAGGCTTGTTTCCGTCTAAGGATTTGCCATATTGACCAATGATGACGTTCTTTGGCTCGATTGCTGGAATACCGCGAAGGACTCGGACCTTTTCGTCTCTAACATCCTCTGCGGAGAATGAGATTGGTCTCTCCATGGCGAGGAGGGTGAGGACTTGTAAAAGATGGTTTTGCATAACATCTCTGATGATACCGAATTCGTCGAAATAACCTCCTCGGCCTTCGGTTCCAAAAGGTTCCTTGAATGTGATTTGAACATTGTCAATGTGGTTTCGGTTCCATGTAGCACCGAAAAACTCATTACCGAATCTCAAAATCAAAATGTTCTTGACCATCTCCTTTCCAAGGTAATGATCGATACGGAAAATCTCATCTTCCTTCCAGTTTGGCTCCAATGCCTTTTGTAACTCACGGGAACTTCCCAAATCCTTTCCAAATGGCTTCTCAACCTACAAGTTGTTAGCAATAGTATTCAATCATGTGGAAATCTTGTATCTTACAATGATTCTTGCAACACCGGTCTCTGGATAGGCGTTTGCTTTTAGTTGTTGGGATACAGTTGTAAAGACGGAAGGAGGTAAGGCCATGTAGAAGATTCTGTTGGCTTCTTTTCTTCCCTTTTCGAACTCCTCGCAGTGTTTTCTAAGCTCGATGAAACCCTCTGGCTTATCGTACTGTCCGGAGATGTATGTACAGATATCGCAGAACTCTTGAAGTTGCTGTTCCATATCCTTGGTGGGAGTCTTAATATATGATCTAACTCTCTTAATATATTCCTCGTGGTCCATCTTCGTTCGCGCATATCCAATAATTCTGACATCCTTTGGGAGGAATTGGTTGCGATACTGTGGTGGCATTAATACGGAATCTTCGGCTGGAGGTATTCTGCACCACTTACGAGACCGAAAAGAGCTGGAACTACAATCACATACGTTAGCAAGAGAAAGAATCTAGGTTAGAGGGGTTTGCTTACAGTCTTCTTCTTTGCAAGGTCACCAGAAGCTCCCAAAACAATGATAACAGTGTTGTCCTTCAGTTCGAGAGATCTGTAGTGGGGCAAGGCAATCAGTCATTATTCGGATGAAATGGGGTCGAGATGTCCAGAGCAAGAATGGAAAGCACAAAATTCATCACAGTCCGAGAGACCCGGGTTAGCCCCTTGGAGTGAACATTTTGAATATGTGATGAGTGTTGTTTATGTGAATGACCTTGCGTGAAGTAGATTGGTTGAAGAAATGAACCAACTCACCCAGCATTGCCAGACTCCTCTGGTTTGATAACAGTGTCGGCCATTTTGTATGTGTTGTTTATGATGTGTGAAAAAGGGAGAAAGGGAGAAACAATCAAATTTTCCTGAAGACCAGCAAGGCTTTTAAGTGAAGAGGGATTGAAGGTTTGAGAAGAAGCTCAAGGAAAATGTTGGGTTTGTCCGCTTCTGATGAAAGACTCGACCCCGCTAAGATTGATGGGATGTATGACGGACGAGAAGTATTTCCGGGTAGCCTCCGAACCCAAAACAGACCTGTCGTATGTTTAAAGTACCTGGTTCACAACCCAACCTTTTGCATCTTTGTAATACATATTGCTTGGATTATATGGATTCTTTTTTCTTGGAATGTGATTCAATATTCAATTCACTCTTTCGAACTCGAAAGACTCAACACCAAACTCTTGCCATCTCATTATAGTGAAGCTTTTATCAAGCTTTAAAGCTTTACTTGGGAGCCATCGCCATTGCCATAACCATAACCATAGTCATAGTCATCCACAGCCATCACATCCACATCCACATCCATAGCCATAGCATCCAATACCATCTATCTTCTACCTTCTAAGTTCCAGAATACCTTGTAAGACTACCTACCGACCGCCCCTCATTTATCACCGATGCCCTCTTGGGAAGATTGGGAAGGGGGGCTCGGGGGGCTTCGATTTCTTACGGGTCCGATTATCAAGCATGTTGCATACATAGTCCTGATGGCAATGCTCGGTGAATCTTTACAAAAATGCCAATAGATCCCTTCAAGGAGTTCCCCCAAAGCATTACTCTATCGTTATACGTTGACAATGACTTCTGAAGCCATCTCCTACGAAAGTAATGTTGCTATCAAAACAAAGAGACGCAACGCAGTAACCCGAATGGCTAAATTAGCATTTAATGGTCGCTTGGGGCTCTAGAACTGTGCTTCCGTACTCGGGGCTTTGATGATTTGATGGATGGATGTCTTTGCGATTTGCCGTTTCAGCTCATTTGGATTATTATCCCAATCGTATAGCTACTTTGGAGAGAGGAGAGTTTTCGGCCGGTCCTCATCCACCCCTACCTTGGTAAATACTCCACCGATCATCAAATCAATATCATCAGTTCACTCAAGAATTCTGAAAAGGCAAACTCGGGAAAAGCGTCTCGGGATTTGAAACATCAACTGAATAGACAAAAATTTACCTTTTTACTCTGTACATTCTTACTTTTTTCCACTACCTTCTAGGATCCTACAACACTGCTATGCTGCTCTCGTTAACTAAAAGAGGACTGAGAGGATGGTGCGAAAGAAAGGGAACCTGGTCTTCAAAACAACTGGAAAAATAGCCTCCGATATGGTTTCGACAATGTCTGATATTGATAATTCGCATAGTCCTCTTCGCAAACTATAGCGACGTTAACATCCTTTTTTTTCTCGTTTGCTGTTCCATGATGATAATGTGATTGCGAAATGAATATATCGGAACTTATTCCTAGAATTCTTCCGTTCAAAATCCCCGCTTCTTGATACCTTAAATTTCAGAGAACAATAAATCACGCTTCTGGATGCTTAGTCAGATATCCCGGCAGCCCTAGTTTTTCGCTAAACTTCTAGGAATTGTGTGCATTCTGGAAAGACGAAAAAAACATCCTCGACGCCGACAACCATTTACGCCAAACCGAACGAAGTCTTCCCTCTCAAATCCACGAGAGACTTTCGCCAAAATGCCTACCGAAGCCGGACACAGACGTGAGTAAACCTGATTTCGAGATAGCATTGGCTGTGCGGACCTTGGAGAGGAGGAAGTAGTTGGGGAAAATTGCGAAGTTGCAGTTTTCCTAAGATGAAGGCAAATTTGTTATACTCAAGCAAGGCCGCGGTTTGTTCTTGAATCAATTGCTGACTGTTATATGTTTTTAGTCTATGTTAAGTAAGTTTCCAATTTATTCCGATCAACGAGCATATTCTGGATTCGAATAGCGATATGGAGGTTGGAAGTGGGACAGGGGTCAGAGATTGATGGAGAGGAGGTTTCGACAACGCACTTACGGATTCGATTGTTTGATTGAGATGGATTGCTTGAGTTGAATTATCGGACACATACTGATATGTATATCTTCAGGGGACGCCATTTGAGCTACCAACGCGGCAAGCGCAACACCACCCCAGGCACCAGCTTGATCCAAATCGAGGGTGTCAACAACACCGAGGCTGCCAAGTAGGTTATATCACGATATTCGAACATTTCTCGTTTCTAACCAAATAACAGCTTCTACTGCGGAAAGAAGGTTGCTTTCGTTTACCGTGCATCAAAGGAGGTTAGAGGATCAAAGATTAGAGTTATCTGGGGAAAGATCGCTAGACCACACGGTATGAGGAATCCGATGTGCTTCTCGCTGGGAATCAAACACTAATTTGTGCCAAAGGAAACTCCGGTGTCGTACGTGCTAGATTCAGACAAAACCTCCCACCTAAGTCATTCGGCGCATCCGTTCGCATCATGTTGTACCCATCATCGGTCTAAATGGTTGGTTTGGAGTTGTTAGCATGGACTGGGAGGATGGTTGATGATATGTCATATTTGGGCACTCGAAGAGGGCGGCAATAATGAGCACAGCCTTGCGGGTAGTATACCAATTAAGCAATTCAACACCACAATGGCCGCATGGGTATATGATTAAAAGTGCATATGGGATCGTCGTGGAAATCTTCACTAGACGTAGACAGGAGTTATCGATCAAAGGTTTCACAATTACACCCAGAACGACACGGAAAGATGTGCTCCTGAATCTTTTGGTCTTACCCATGTCATTTATGCTTTCAAAACGAAAATCGAAGTTTGGCACAATGGTTTGCACGTTTTACTGGTTTCTGGGGACATACATTTCAATTTTGAGACTCCAGGCAAAGTAGTGCTCTTGATAACAGTGATTTTTGACAGTCCTGCCATGTATATGGGAAAATGACTTGGGTACGCACCATAGGGATGGATATTGACGTCAAGATGGAATAGTGAAATGTGATACCGGTACTTGACCGGGACCCCAAATCTACGGACTCCGCACCCCCAAAGTGATCCATACTCTCATTCCAAAGCCTTCATCCGCCTAGGTCTAGTAGTGATCCATCACCAATCCTCCAATGTTCATGCATCTCATCTACCTCTCCAATTCTTCAATCTACCTGTCCCCCACGCAGCTCTATGTATTAACACCACATTCCACGACACCCGTAGCATACAAGCCGCAGATTTCGAAAACACCGAATCACACAAGATGAATATCTCACATTTATGTACTCTTAGTGCTTTATGGATTAAAATACGATCTTATCTTGATCTCATTCCTCCCAATCATCTCATGAAGAGTCTCGAGTGTAGACATGTACAGATAGGTATGGAATAAATCTCATCGAACAAGAAGGTTTGGCTCAACCCAGCCTCGAGTTAGTTGCATTACAGTTATCAAGACATATAACGAGTTTTCCAAAGTCTAAGCGCCCCGCCCCTCCAGCTAAGATGTCTATTGAGCCTTCACTATCTGAAACCCCGAAGCAACTTTGTTGTTCTATTATCACCGAGTTGGGAAAGTGAGGACACAAAAGCGTGGCATACTTGTAGTAAGTAGGTGGGTAGGTAGGTAGGTAGGTAGGTAGGTAGTAGGTAGATCAAGGTTGGATTCAGTAGGTAGCATGATGTGATTGATATTTTCAGCTGTTGTTGCATGCATGCGTGTATTTTATTGCAAGGTAGATTAGGGAAGTAGATGGGAATGAATGATCGATCGATCGATAGATGGATATATGGATATATGCCAAAATGCCAAAATTTCATTGTATGTGGAGGTAGGTAGGTACCTAGACAAGGCGATAGGATGAGACAGGACAAGACAAGACAGGACAAGACAAGACAGGACAAGACAAGACAAGACAAATACCGAGAGTTCCGATTTCCGATGAGCTGATCGCGGAGAGGACAGAAAGTTCGTGTTTTTATCTGGCTAGTAATTCTTCAGCCACCACCATTTTTTGTGGGGGCGACCTCATTTTTTTCTCTTGGGGTTAAATCTTGAAATTCTTGAAATTCTTGGGGTGGATGGGTGGATGAATGAATGATGGAATGAATGAATACCGTAATACCGTAGATGGATAAATGGAAGGCGAAAATGAAAACAGGATTGATGGATCTGTCTACATGCTGATGGAGATGAATTGGGATGGATTGGATGCAGGTGGGGATAAGATGCATTGGGTTCAGGTATGGCTTGCTTGGTGTAGGTAATATTGGCATTTGATATGATGGCTGTTTGGAATGACTGACTGATACGTACATCTGAAGTGGGATTGATTGATTAATTATTTCTTCACGAAGTCGTATACTTCTGGAATATGTATTATAGGTAGGTGTTAGGTAGGTATGTCTTGAAGGGAATCGAGAGATGAATGGGGGGGTTGTTGGTGAGTAGATACTACTACGATAGATAATACTAGATACTAGAGAGTTAGATAGGTACTGGTAAAACTTTAAGTTCGACTACGATGGACCAGATCGATCTCTGTAGTAGTAGTATTCTATCTATATCTATATAGAGTGTTATATAACTTATATTGTCAGATAAAGCTCGGAAACATGGCAGTCTCCGTTGGGTTGTTATGCTACCTGGCTACCGTGGAATTGTGAAGAAAATGAAACTAAAAATAACTTAATAATGTGACTAAGATAAGTGTAAGAATATCTACGGCATTATTATTAAGTAGTCATGGAAATACTACCTACTACGTACCGTTACTTCTTCTGCGTTGGTTCGAAGCTTTGAATGCACCAGAACTTCCCAGAATCCCAGAAATCCAGAAAATCCCAGAAGATCCCAGAATCTCAGATGCATCACTGATACTCGCACAGCACCAACAAAAGGATTCTGACCCGGGATATAAATAGCTCGATTAGGACTAGTGTAGATCATTCTTTTATCGTTTGATTTACTCGTAATTCAATTCATATCACGATTCACCACACCACCACTTTATTATGATCCTTTCCCTATCTTTCCACGGCATCCCTGCCTGGTAACGAAAGAGCATACGAATTCCTGTCGCAATGGCCATTGTGGTATCGCTAGACTTCGGATCGAAAGCAGTTTCCGATGAGCGCACACCATCTCATTGGTGATGATGGAAAGATTTTCATCAAAGCCATTCCCATTGAGAGACGTATCGACTTCGTACGGATACTACGGTAGGACAACAGACAGAGCATTGCTGCTACGTCCATGGGATTTGTTGTTGGCTTACGATTGAATAACGAATCAAAAGGGGACCTGGATGCTAGGTAGGTAGATGGGTAGGTGTGATATCTCAAGGTGCAAGATGCAAGATTGCAAGAAAGCTATACGAATTCCGAAAAAGCTTTTATTCACTGCTTTGAACAACTAGTAGACAACTTGGGACAAGAGCTCCTCGTCATCAAAATGCCCTACACCCTAACACCTAATATTATTACTTTTTTCTCATGGCCTAGTATGGATTCCATCGATGGATGATAAATATTGATTTTGCTTCAAAATTCCCCTCCAGTGGCTGAATACCATTGAATGCTTCGTATTAACTTTTCTCTTTCCCCGCGTAAAGTGCGTATAGTCGTACTCTTATTATTCTATCCATCTCTCTCTCTCTCTCTCTCTCCCTTTTCTTGTCCTTTTAAAATCAAATTTGATTCTTTTCCAAATCATCATCAATCGTTTGTTCATCTCAATTCTTCGTTTTCCTATTACCTATCTACGTATTAGGTACGCACTTGTGAAGGCTTGAAGAAAATAAGCTGGGCAAATAAACAAACATCAACAAAAATCTGCATTCATCGGTCATCCTATAAAAAAAGGAAAAAAGGAAAGAAAAAAAAAAACATTCGCTGCAATACTTTCGATCAAAGTTCTGATTCACATCATACGACGAAACCATCAATCGTTATATCTGGAGATTGTTTTTTTGGGGAAGAAAGCTTAACATCAAACGCATTTTTGATCGTCTTCAAACTATCCACTACCGTCGTTCCATTTATCAAAACATCAGGTTTTTAATTCTCATCAAGCTTAATTCAAACATTGTGAAACGGATATCTACTTCTGATATAAAGCCACCAAATTCCCAACCACCTACTTTTGACGTTCACGACCGAGACTCAGACCAAAAGGACCAACTTCATTTCAGAGTTCCACAAATATCCCTACAAATCTCTCGATATTACTCCACCACACCCAGGTTTCACGACGATAAGGCTCAGAATATCTTGATAAAAGTTGTAATAGACCCACAACAGCGACAATCACTGTCCACTTATCGACTTATACTTAGAAATATGCAAAACCAAAATCACCCGCTACCCTCGCCCCCGGGCAATCAAGAGCGGCCTGGGAACCGCCAAAGAGCAAAGACTTCGTCTGGCTTCAGTTTACATTCTCATAAGAGCAGTGGCAGTGGACAACAGAAACTTGATCTCACAGAAACACACCGAGAGAAGGAAGCAAAAAGACTTCATTCCAAAGCTGATCCATCCCTGGCCATGACGGAAGCCGAACCTTGTGAGTACTCGTTCAAATCATGGGATTCATAATTCACATACTGACGATACCATCACAGCTGCTGTTGCAAACGATGTTGCGACTTCATTAGCACCCATTCGAGCCATTCAACACAGAGACAGTCAGGGAAACCCCATCGGTTCGTTATCTCATTCACTCTCACCATGAATCTTGTGCGCTGACTTATTTTTCACGCAGTGGATCCCGATCGTTCAAATCCTACGAGAAGCAGATGGGAGAGACCTTTGGATACAATTCGAGCCTTTGAGGCAGCTATCGATGGAAATTATTCTTCGAGGAAATCAATGATACGCGGTTCTGGTGAGAATTCCCAAGCTTCTTGGTGCTCAGGATTCCGGCGTATCGATTCTGACATTTTCACTTCACAGAATCCGATGTAGGCTCAACATACAATCGACGAAACAGTTACTATGCCGGTTAGTGCATTCCAATTATTTTTCTCATTTTTCTTGTTTGCAGAATTATCTGCACACTACTTTTAAGACAGTTAACTATCCTGTTTTTTTGTTGGATTTGAGCGCTCAGACTATGGTGATCTGTGGTCTGTGGTAATGGCCAATGCCAATTCACCAACCGAGCACATTTTCGATGAGCTGAATGGGAATTTGGTATCTCGCATGCTCTAGCGATTTTTGTCTCCCAGTGGATTCTTGGCGCAAAGCGCGTGAAATTGACAACTGTCGTACATACGCTAACAGATCGCCATATAGCAAGTCAAATGCACAATGACGAACGACCAAGATACTCTCAGCAGAGCTATTATGGAGGAGGACAACAACCTTACAGACAAAGCAGCCACTATGGTGGTGATGGACGACCAAATGGAATGACCAGGCCCGATAGTTATTACACTACCGATAATCATGGAGGTCATGGCAATGGATATACCCCAAACAGATCTCGATACCCTCGAACAGCATCAGAACCACAATTTAATAGTGGTGTTTACACCGCACCTGGAGGTCAGCAACATTCATATGAAACTGTGACCACTGCCTCCGGTAGTGGAATGTCTGGAGACGCTGTAGGATACTCAACCGACCCCAGCAGCTTGAATAGTTCTGTAGATGGACTTCATGCACTACCACAACAACCAAAAGAACCTGCCGAGACATATGGATTTAATGGATTTGGAAATAACCCCCAATACCTTCCACCTGGAAGTGGCATCAATGAGCAAAACGGAGCGCGAAGACAGCCGATTGGCCAAGGACCTCCGCCCTCTAACAAGGACAGCACACCACGAACTCCAATCAACCTTGGTATCACCAGTGAAAATTCTCTACCTCAGAAATCGGTTGTTCAAATCACCAAATCAGAGGCTAAACCTCAACCAGAAAAACGGAAAAGTTGGTTTGGAAGAAGGTTGAGCAAGAATAAATAAGATAGATGCTGGTCATCCTCCAATATCTATCACGCTATCTACAATCTAATACGGATATGAGGAGAGAATCATCTGGGAGTGCATTGTGGGATGTATGGTATTGATTGTGTTCTAATGATATTCATGACGGGCAAACATAGGGGGTGGGGGCCAAGGGATATAACGGAATACACTTGGAAGCGGTTGGATTATTTTTGCATCGGAAGGCGTCTGGTGTTGTATTTCTTTGTGTCGACTACTATTCCCAAAAGTTGGTTAGGAAAGGAGCTGTGCGCTTGCAGGCCTTATGTATGGCCTTAATTGGCTCCTTTGCCTAGAAGGAGATGATTGGTGATGCTTGGAGCCCCGATGAGTTTGGATGTGGAAGGCCTGAATATGGAGATGAATATTTTATCTGTCTACATATTTCACAATGATATAACACATTTCTATCTACCCACTTTCTGGAATATTGATGATTTTATTTCCCCTATCATCACTTGAACCTTTGTGATGTGATTATTTGTTTTTCTGTACAAGATGACTGACACATGACTTATGCTTAATGTGATCATTTTCCATACAACCCCAGGGTCATTCTCATGATTGTGACGTCTCCAAATATGCATGACCGGTACCTGTACTTCGATGCATGAATTTTCTTCGACCATTGTCTCGAGAGCTTTAGCTTTATCCACTACTACTATCTTTGTGATCATGGTCAACTGATTTGATGTGGTGTGATTTAACCTTTTGTTTCTTCCGTGGGATTTATGATGATTCATTGATTGATTGATTGATTGATTAGAAAAAAATGAGCTATGAGAGAAACTCCTAAAAGTCCTTTCGAGATAGATAGATAGAGAGATAGGTAGGTAGGTAGGTAGATAGGTAGATAGGTAGATGAAAATCGGGATTTGTATCCTCGTGTAGGCAATGAAAGGAGAAAATCTTTTTTGTTGAGAGGTTTGACGAGGAGGGAGTTTTCTGGTGTGAGGATTGGGAAGAAAGTCCTCGTGTGTCATCATGTGAGACTCGGGAAAGAAAGTGCTCGTGTAGACGCACAGGAAAGTGCTCGGATAGACTTGCAGGAAAGTCCTCGTCTACAAAGACTTTTTGGATTCCTCTTCTTTCGCGGCGGCTTCAAGTGCTTCGCTCTGATCTTCTCTCATGGCGACGATTACGTAGCCGATGAGGACGACGTTTGCCATTATGGCGGCGGTGGCGCCGGCGAAGGTGGAGTTTCCTGGGGTGTGTCAGGGGGAGAGAGGTGGAGATGGGGATGGGGATAAGATGGGAGAAGTACCTCGAAAGACGGAATTTAGAGTTAGGAAATAGGAACCTATTGGGACGACGATCATGGCGAGGGTGAACCCGAGGAGTTTGAAGATTACATGTCTGGTGAGGGAGGGATGTTAGTTGGGGGGTTGAGAATTTGAGGATGGGTGAGGTGGTTTGTTCATGTGATGTGAGGATTGGAAGAGGTAGGGGTGAGGAGGGACATGTGATTGTTATAATCGTAAGGCTGAGGTGAAAATGAGACATATTGGAATATTGGAAAACATACGCAGGAACAGCAGGAGCAATGTTACTCTTTCCTCCAGCAACAGGTTTGAATTCCGCTTCTTTCTTTTCTTCGCCGGCGGCGATTGCGGTCGTGGGGTGTTCGTCTTTGAGTCGCCATTGGATTGGTTTGTGAGGAGGTGAGGGGTAGGGAGGGTTGAAGTAGATGTATGTTTTTAGTACTTATTGGGAGATAGATGGGCAATCGATTTTAGTTCTGTGATGTTATTGAAATCTGGTTATTATGATTGTTTTTCTTGTAGATCTGGATATCTGGCTGGCTTGTCTCTGTGGAACAATTTGATATATATGTAGGTATGTATCAATTAGGAAGCGGAAGTGGAAGTGGACACTGCTGACTTCGCGCATCTCGCGAAGAAGGGCAATATGGGGAACGCGTTAATTGGATTTTTACTAGCGTGTTAGCGTGTCTTTTCATTGAGCGATAGTGGACCTTTTTACTAAAATCAAAAGTTATTTCTACGACCTAGTTATCGTTGGTCAGAGTAGGGCAGAATAAAGAATAACGACACAAAGATCGAAGGGTCAGGATTGATGGAATATTGATAAGAAGGTACGAGGAAAGCTCATTTTGGAAAATTCACTTTTGTTTTGCAGGGGGATCATTGCAAGAATAAGCTGGAGAGTTGAGGTGAACGAACGGCTTTGCCATCTCGCTGTCTGCAGTCTCGCCAGTTCGCAAGATTTCTTTTTCTCCCACTGCTTCTTTTCTTCGTCTTCTTATACCACAACAATCTCTGGGAACCCAACCTATCTTGATCAGGAATGTTCTGGACATTTTACCTGGAGGAATCTCGATTTTTAACTGGAAACAATTGCAGATTGCGAATCTACGTCGACCAAGATCCAAACTTTATATTAATCTGATTCAATTGTTGCTTTTACAACTTGCAATCCTATCCTCTTTTAATTTCTCGTCGAAGAACAAAACGCTCTCTGTTTCTCATTTCAACAAAATAACGACAGAAACGAATTATGGCTTCCAATTTTCCCAATCCCTCTCTTGTACTCGATTCGCCTGCGGTAAAACGGCAAAGAACCGAATCAGGTTATACATCTATCAGCAATTCTGCGAGAAATACAGATACCTATAATTCAGATGCGGATGATGGAGATGATATTTTCAAGGATTATGTGCCTGATACGCCAGCGACAGCTAAGAAGTTTCGAAACGCAACCCACACAGATTATAGGTGCTGCTGGGAAGTTCGAGACTCAACCCACGCAGATTGGACCACTACCAGAAGTTCGAGACTCAAGCTACCCAGATAATCGATCGATCTGCTTCGCTGGCATACCCACCAAGTTCCCCAAATATCAACAGCTTGAATGGTGTACAAGTACCTGCTTCATCACCTTTACGACAATCGCCTACCCCAAGGAAGTTTTTTGCATCTGCAATGGCACCTGCTGGAACTGAATACAGAGCAACATTTGGAATCAATCAAAAGCCCATCGCCCCTCCAAGGAAGATCATAAACTTGGATAGTGATGACGAGGAGCCGTCATTTGTTGGAGACAGTTCTGACGACGATGACGAACTAGCCAGTGCGGATATCAAACCTACATCGTTCGTTTCAAAGAGTGCTTCTTTTGGGTCTACAGGCTATCCAGATGCTTCGCGATCATTCAATGGCAATTCTAAATTCAAAACGCTCTCGCCAAGGCTGTATATAATCCACAGAAAGGCATGAAACAGCAAGGTTCAGAGAGAGCCAGGCCAATCCAGGATATTTCAATCAATGACATTCCAGATGATGAGCTCAGAATGAAAGCTCAGCGCATCAAGGACATCTTTCCAGGGGTATCTATCATGGAGACCAAGGATGCTTTGCTCGTGACCAAGAACGATTTTGATGCTGCTTGTAGCTTGCTTGCCAAAGATAAGCCTATTGAGGTTTCCGACGATGAGGACGAAATTCAAGAGATCACTGCCTCAGAAATGGCTGAACCTCAGATGAGAAGAGGTCTTGCGAAACCTATCAAGTCAATCAGGGACCGATATACTTCTACCCAAAATCAGTCTACGCAAAGACCGGCTCCAGTACCAGCTCAAGCTACCACGCCACCAAAAACAAGGAAAAGACTTATGAAAGGACGTAGAGATCCAACTTCCCCTGCAGCTGCCTCTTCTCCAGTCAAGTCTCCAGCCAAGTCTCTCATGAAGTTGGCTTCATCCCCAGTCATCATAGATATGTCTGATGATGATTCTGACCTTGAGCAGGAGGAGGAAATCGAAGAAGATCCAATTCTGGAGGATCGACTACTCAAGTACTTGAACAAATGCACATTGGATGATCTTATTGAACTTACCAATACCACCAAGAATAACGCCCAAGCAATGTTGGACAGTCGACCTTTCAGGAGTCTTGATGCTGCGAGAAACGTGTCAAATGTTAAGACTTTGAAAAGTGGCAAGAGAAGTGCAAAAGCTCCTATGGGAGAACGTCTCGTAGAAACTGCTTTGGAAATGTTTTCTGGCTACGAGGCTGTGGATCTCCTTGTCAAAAGATGCGAGGATCTCGCAAAGCCATTGGAGGCTGAGATGGCGAAATGGGATTCAATTCTTTTGGGACTCGCAAGGAAGGAGAAGGTATTGAACTAGTATCTTTCGAAGATGCAGATTCTCAGCGTGATTCCGGAATTGGCACTCCAAGCAGCACTTTATCTACCAATGGCGAGAATGCTGATGAGGACAAGATCGTATCCGCCAAACGTAGGAAAGCGAGTGTCGAATTTTTGAAGAAGCCCTCGCTTATGGCAGATGAGGTTATTCTGAAAGATTATCAAATTGTTGGCTTGAATTGGTTGAATTTGATGTACGAGCAGAACCTGAGTTGTATTTTGGCAGATGATATGGGTCTTGGAAAGACCTGTCAAGTTATTTCGTTTCTTTCGCATCTTGTGGCTACTGGTCGGACCGGGTCCCCATGTTGTTTTTGGTCCTGCTGCGGTTTTGAGAAGTGGGGTCAAGAGTTCCAGAAGTTTGCTCCAAAATTGGCTATTCAACCTTATCACGGTAAGTTCAACATAAAGTGACTCGTGTGAAGTAACTGAGGGTGCATTGACCTAATTAACTTTCAGGTCCTGCGGCTGAACGTGTCGAGTTGGCTGAATCCATATTTGGAGAATCGAGTATGAGATCAATGTCATTGTTTCTACCTTACGATATGGCCGTCAACCTGCTGATCACACAGTTTTTCCGGAAGTTGGGAGCGACGTAAGTCTTCAACATGAAGTTAGTCGGATTTCGATACTAAGTAGCCTTAGGTTTTGTTTGTGATGAAGGTCAATTTTGGAAGATGGAGCGGACTCAAAAGATATCAAGCTTTGAATAGGATTCCTGCTAGCTTTAAGCTTTTACTGACGGGTACACCCCTTCAAAATAACCTGGTCGAATTGGTTACTTTACTTGCATTCATTCTTCCAGACGTTTTCAAGGAACGAGAAGAAGACTTGAATTACATTTTCAAAGCAAAGGCGACAACTCGAGATACTGATCATGGAGCATTACTTTCTGCTGAACGTATCACTCGAGCCAGATCTATGCTAACTCCATTCGTCCTACGACGAAAGAAGCATCAAGTGGTGAAGCATCTCCTATCAAAGTGTATGTCGGGTTGAACGTTGTAGTTTGGAGCCAACACAGGCTAAAATCTATAATGAGCATGCAGATGCAGCGAAAGAAAACGGGCACGCAGGGCGTCTTGAAGGTGTCAAAATGCCACCTTTGAGTCTGAAGAAAACAATCCAATCATGCAACTTCGCAAAGCAGCTATCCATCCACTACTTTTCAGACGCCACTTTACGAATGAGAAGATTGAGAAAATGGTCGATATCCTGCGAAAGAAAGAACCAGATAATTTCCCTCCATCTGCTAAACGAATCCATCTTGTGGAAGAGATGCGCAACGCTTCGGACTTTTGGTTACACACGTGGTGTGTATTATATCCATGTATTAAATCGTTCGATGTTAAGAAGAATGCTTGGATGGATTCGGGGAAAGTGTCTGCTTTAGTGGAACTTGTGACGAAATACAAGGAGAATGGGGATCGGGTTCTTATCTTCTCTCAATTCTCGCTTGTTCTTGACATTCTGGAATCTGTATTGAACACTTCCATGATCACATACACTCGTATCGATGGTGCCACCAAAATTGACGAACGTCAATCTTTGATTGAAAGATTCAGGGACGATACTGATATTACGGCTTTCCTCTTGACGACCAAGGCAGGTGGAACAGGTATTAACTTGATGTATGCCAATAAAGTTATCATCTTCGATGGTAGTTTCAATCCTCAAGATGATGTGCAAGCAGAGAATCGTGCTCATCGTGTGGGACAAACTCGCGATGTGGAAGTTGTCAGATTAGTCACTCGTGGTACAATCGAAGAAGCCATTTGGAAAATGGGTAGAAGCAAGTTGATGCTGGATGGAAGAGTGGCAGGGGAAGAAGGTGAAGAAGCGGGCGAGAAGGCTGTGGAAAAGATGTTGTTAGAGGGTGTTACAATTACGGATGAAGAAGCGGCCTCTGTTGCTGAGGGTCATGAAACTACGCCCAAGAAAAATGGGAAGGGCAAAGCGACGGGGCAAAAACTACCGGATAGGAAGAAATCAGGCACGTTTCTCGATTTGGCGATGAAGGGAGCGGAGAAAGATGATGAGGATGAAATGCTTGTTTGAGATGGTTGGCCAATATATTGGTCGTACATGCTAAGCAAGATGAGCGGGATAGATTGTTTTCAACGAGATGATCAGGGTTAATGCTAGAAGGTGGTTCTGTTTGCGTCATCATATAATTTGCATTCAGTGGATCTTTTAGACTGGGGTGGCGTTCTGAGCTGTTTGGTTTGGATTGATGTTGCATAAGACGTAATATGAGGAAGAGTTTAAGCGAGCGAGATTGGAGAGGATTTGATTCATTATCTACTTTTTTTTCTCCCGTATGCATGAGAAAGGGGATACATCTGTATAAGAAGTTAAGAGGCATGAGCATAATGTGGGTAGGGGAATATTTTACGGTATACATAGATTACGATACAAATTACCAGAGGAAGTGGGAGAATTAGGGGAAGATGGAGATGATAGAGAGTTAGTGGAAAGATTTCAGATGGTGTGTTGGATTCCTAGTGGAGATGTGTAGATGAGAATTAGATGGAGGTAGATTAGATACCTGGGAATGAATGAATGAATGAATATACAAATTTATCAAGGGTATTGGGTTTGGATGTGCATGCCCAGGTGTTCTTTAAAAGGCAATGTGGACCGCTTAGTGAGTGGTACACATAGATTGCCCGGATAAGTTCTTTCACTTCTGGAAATATGCACTATGCAGTAGGGTTGAATGGATTTCCCAATTTTGTTCATGTCAGAATTTGGGGGTTCCCTTTTTGTTTCTTTTTGCTATGTTGTGATCTGTGATTGTGATGGATGGTGGTGGCAAGTTTTTGGTTTGTTGGTTCATGTATAATGTGTCTTTGTTTGGTAGTGGAAGTGGAGTGAGGTGATGGGGCGAGGCGAGGCGAGGCGATGGAAAGATTGGGAAGGAAGGAAGGAAGGAAGGAAGGAAGGAGTGCTTGGAGTTTGAGTTTGAGTTTTGTTGAGTTCTTGGGTTAGAGGAATGGGTGGGATGGGTGGAATGATGGCGGGAGAGGAGGATGTGGAGGTGTGGAGTTGGGGATGGAGGATTGGGGATTGTGGATGCTATGAGGGAGGGGGGTTGATAGTTTGAGAGATATGAGATAAGAGGGGAGAAAATAAAGGATTGTAGATTGAATCTGGAGAGAGGGGGTTGTATATGTATCGTATGTGTGTGTTTGTTTTGAAGTATTGTGAATTCGGGCTGTGAGAGGGATATCGTATAGTTTTGATGGCTTTTGATTATGTTTAGGGGTATGTGATTATGAGGGTATATGATATGATGAGAAGGTAGTTAATTTGGGGGGTGGAGATGGAGATGGAGATTGGTTGCTGGTTTCTATGGGAGGAGTTGGTTGGTAGGGTAGACAAAAGGGGATTAGGATGGTTGATGCGGTTCCGTGGGAGGGTCCTGGGTGGTGAGAACACATGGAAGAGAGGTATGTTTGGGAATCCGTACAGTTTTTCTTTGCATTGCTTTTTAATCGAATTGCTTGTATACTGGGGGGCTAAGAATGAGGAGGGAAAGACTTTCATGCATTTGTATTGTTCACTCTCAACCTTCATTCGAAACGATGGAGGAGGCAAACCTTTGGGTTGTGAAAATATTATTACATCATTTCGCACCATGCCACTATCATGTTCGTGTCATCTAGGAACGAACTTACGAATTGTATGTTGGTATATCGATAACGATATGCGGTTCTGGTGATTTTGGTCTCGAGCCTTGGGAAACTATATGAGTGATCCTCTCTAGATTTCAAGATACATGTTGGGAATCTTGATCATGTTCTTCTTAATACCTTGGCTCTGCTTCCTAGATGGTTGTGCAATATTTTTGAAAGAATCGAAACTTATTCCTATCCGATCAAACGGTATTCACTTAGCATTCCAGAAATTGACAGTAAATCATGTTCACATCCGAGAGGGAGGTGGAGGGAAGGTGCGGCCCTCGCTAGCTCGCTAGCTAGCCTGTCGACTAGCTTCAACTTCGCACTGGCCAACTAAAACTCCTACTTCTTTCAATTTCGACCAAAACGATTCCCTTCATTATTTAACATCCAACTGTCGAATTTGCTGTTGTGTAACTGAAGAGTTTTGACGGTATAATCTACCCAAATGCAGAGATTCTAGCCTTCCAATATTCCAACTTGATACTGTTTGTTTTCACAATACACGAACGTTTTCTTTGAGAAGCGTTTCAATAGGCTGGGTGAAATAAGAATATGGCATTAATTCAACTTCGCCAGTCGCGCACTTGACAGTCCTTGAAGTGCCGCAGCGTCGCAATGTGGGGGACTGGATGTCCCCTCGCAATAGTATGGCTATGCTGTGAATCAAATTACCTGTTGGGGCATTGTTCATGATAGATAAAGTCATTCATACCTCGATCAGGATGGTGTCAGCGGGATAATTCAATTCCTGATGAGCACCATGGGGACTGTTTGGCGTTGAAGCTGAATGCACATCTCGATAATCACAGAAATTCATCTTCAAGGGAACAAAAGGGCGCGTTGCAGAATATTGCGGGGTTCGATCAAATCAAATGCTTCGTCTGCTGAATCTGGTAGATCACACTGTATCCCCTCGCCACGATTGAAGATTCCAGCAAATAAGACTCAAAGTATCAACGAATAATGAGGAGCATTGTCATTTCAGATTGGTACATCATCGAGGCCCGACCCAGGAGTCTGGCACTTGCAAGCTTTGGGCAATCCAAGTTTTGTTACTTTATTGCGCCGATCCAGACCATATTTGAAGTCTTGTTGATGTACAAACTAAAGATAGCCTTGATGGTGCTCTGCTACCTACACGCCTTTATGATATCTCAAGTTCAATAATCTTTGTTATATTCGTTCATCTTGTCTTAAAGAAATGCAACCTTGACTCAACTGGATTGAACCTGACAAAGCAATATGCAAAATTATTCACAAGAGCAGCTAGAGAAAGCACGGCAGTTTATAGATGATTTGCGGTATGAAAATGGCGGCATTACAAAAGATGATCGAGAATTTCTCGAGCGAAAAAGACCTGGGGTCCTAAAATCATTTGATAACATCCGAAGAAAACTTGGTGCATCGACTCAAATGTTCGTTTTCTAACCACAGTTCAAGTTGCTGTTGTGTTATTTGCAACCAAATTTTACTAATTCTTATAGTCTGGCCGAGCAGCTATATCAGAAGTCTATCCGCTTTGTTTACGAGCTCATTCAAAATGATGAAGACAACAAATATACAATCACAACGCAATCGCCTCACCTGTCTTTCACTCTGCAATCAGACCGCATCATCATAGACTCCAACGGAGATGGCTTCACTCAAAAGGACATTAAAGCCATCTGTTCCATCGGTGAGAGTACCAAAACATCCATCCAAGGCTACATTGGGGAGAAGGTAATCGGGTTTAAATCAGTTTTCAACGTTGCTCATAAAGTTCATATCCAGTCTGGCCCCTACTCATTTGCACTCGAGTATCGCAAAGGGGATTCTATAGATCGTGGACTTGGTATGGTTACACCGCTGAGTGAGAGACTATATGAGCTTCCCGGTGATGTTCGAACAAGGACGATTTTGTACCTTCATGAGGATGAAGATCGAGAGGCACTGTGCCAAGACTTGATCAAATTGCCAGACACGTTGTTACTCTTTCTCAAAAATCTACAGCAATTGACTGTGAGATTTGAACTTCCTGATCAGGTCATTCAAAAGATGCAATATTCACTAACACGCTCAGACAAAAGTCACTTCAACAATAAACTTCAAATAAAGGCTGCAATCACAGGTACAGATAGCATAGACACATCTAAGAGCTTCTGGGTCAAGAAGCACCGCGCTTTCAATCTACCTCTCGATCCCGCTCGTCAACATATTTATGAAGCTGAAGTCGTACACGCCTTTCCTATAGACGAATATGCTGTCCCAGTTATTGAAAATCAAGATGATTACGCTTTTCTTTCGTTGAGAAAGGTTGGATACAAGGTTATTCAAGCCCACCAACTCCTACTGGTCTATGTTGAAGCTAACTTGGATTGTCAGTTTCTTATCCAATCCGACTTCGTTACCAAGACCAGTCGCGAGGATGTTGTAGTTTCTGTGTGGAACAAAAGGCTTCTTGAGGAAGTAGTCGTAGCGTTTCGTAACGCAATCAGTGGGCCTAATGGATTCCTTGAGCACGATACACTCCGATACAGCTGGATCAGATATATACCCAGAGATATTATTGCAGATGAATTTTGGGGCCTCTTACAAGCTCGCTTATACAATGAACTTTGCATTAGTAAAGTTTTCTACTCCATGGATGGATCTTGCTGGAAACCCAATCAGTTGCGAATCTTACTGGACTTCTTTCGAGATGAGTATAGCAATCCGCTTCTTGCAGATCTCGCCGTAGGAGAAACCGCATACGTCTCAGAATCTTACAATGTTGCTATTGATATTCCAATCTTGCAGTAGATGAAAGTAACACATCTAGGTTACTCTGGATTTCTGGAAAGATTGGAACAAGACTTGAACCTAAACCTAGATCCTTGAATCAAAACAAAGCCTTCAAATAGCCTTTGGCATGTCAAGGTGGCAACAATTTTGATTCTAATTGCTCAGAAGAATGATCAGAAACTGAACGTACAGAGACTGAAAATCGTACCGCTTGACAATGGGAGGTGGATTTGTCTATTGAATGCGAGTATATTTTTCCAACTTCAGGTGGTATTGACATACCGAATTAGTTGTGCCAATCAATCACTATCATCATTACCATTTTATCTTTAAAAATATGGACTTCATCTAGTTCGTACCGTCAATTGCTGTTGGAAAGCCTCTCTATGGATGTCCTTATACGAGGGCGTGTCTTTGATGATTGCCGGGTCCATGCATAAGCACTTTTTCATATCAAAATTTATTCATTTTAGAATTCAATATTAAATTAATCAATATTATTATATATTTGAAATTTTATAAAGTAATAAATTTTTATTAAAAATTTAATAATATAATTTTAGTTTTTTTATTAAAGCTTTTAATTAAATCAAAATTTATATTAAAATTTTAATACTTAATATTTCTATAAAAAATAATATTTACTTTAAGAATCAAATTTCTATATAGAATTTTATCATTAATTCAATTCAAAAATTAATAATTCTAATATCAAACTAATTTCAAAGTTTTATAATAAATATTTGAATTATTATATATTTATAAATATATAGAATAAAGCATGATTTTTGTTACGAGCATCGATATAGGATCGATATCAGGCCGATTATTAGTCCGGAAGTGAAGAGTTTTTGTATATATATAGCTTCAAAAGAAAGGTTTTGAAAGGATTAATGAAAAGTCTTATTATTAGACTTATATCTATATTATATTAGTTAATATCTTGTATTGATTTTAATAATTATTTTTATTTAATCCTTTTAGAATAAGTTATTAATTAATTTTGAAATAATTTTAAAATTTTTAAAAATCTCAAAAAGTTTCGAAAGCTTTAGATCTCATTTAGATTGTAATATATTTATGATATATTATTAATATATAATTATTGTAAAAGAGTAGAAGGTGGTAGGGTCATAGAGTAGTCCTTTGTAAATACCACAGATAAATCACTGAAACGTAGTGCCTCTAACAAAGGAGAGGAGAGAGAGGCTCTATATTTATTTATTTATTTATTTATTTTAATTTACATCCAGGGGGCAAGCCGCGGGGGCTCGCCACAACCTCCCAGGGGGGTACTAGAGATAAACTATACTAGCAGGAGTGCCGGCATAGCCACGCGTTCCGTTCTTCTACAGCTATAATACAGGCCAGGAGAAAAGCAGCTAGAAGCGCTATACACGCTTCTACCGCTTATCTCCCGCTTACAATATCGGTGCTATTCAACCCACTTCATACTGGGTAGCCCAGGTTTGCGGCTAGCTATAGGACCCTATATTATCAGTTTTTGTTTAATACAATTTATACACAGCAGTGGAATGGGAGAGCGGCTCCAGAGGGGGGTGCAGCCCCGAAGAGAGGCTCTATATAACACTTCACAAAACATACAAGAAGATGGGTAGAAATTAACTGCTTTTTCTAAACTATACAAAGAAGATCTATAAATACTACCCCAATCCTCTTCCTTATATATATCAGGGACCTCTTCCTATCCAACTCAGTGAAGTTTCTTTCTTATATAGATGATATTGCTCTAATCACCAATTCATCCACTTGGAAAAAGAATATTAAATCTTTAGAAAGAGCTACGAAACAAATCTACGAACTCAGTTCGAAGAATTCTATTCAATTTGATCTGGCGAAAACTGAGCTAATGCACTTTTCGTCATCAAAACTAACGAAAAACTACCCAATCACGCTACCCAATTCCGAAACAATCATACCTCAATCCCTAATTAGATGGCTGGGAATATGGTTCGATTCAAACCTCAAATTCAATCAATATGTTAATATTCGAATCACACAAGCCAAAGGAGCCTTTTATCGAATGGCCCGATTAGCTAATATCGAAAAGGGCCTTAGTCCTAAAGCCCTCAGATAGCTATATATAGTATGTGTGACTAGCATAGCTGACTATGGTTCAGTGATTTGGTGGAGAGGTCAAACTCATTTCAAGAATATGATGCAATCACTTCAAAACCTAGTCCTTCGCAAGATATTAGGAGTATTCAAAATAGCTCTAATTATTTTAATGGAAGTAGAAGCTGGTCTAAAACCTCCCAAAATCCGATTAGATTCAAATATCAGATAATACGCTTTCCGATTAGCCAAGTTATCATTAAAGTATCCAATCAATACCGAAAAAGAAACTTCAGCTCAATATCAAGCCGATTTAGAAGTGATCTCTACATTTCAAAGAAAACGATATAAATCTATTCAATTGGATAGAATCAGAGAATCAATAAATCAGAATTTCAATCCTTTTTTATTCGAAAAGATCATTTACTTTAACTTCTCTTTATAGAAAAGAGATATTCTCTTCAAAGTCAATATTAGCAATTTGTTAAAAGAAGATACTACTATTCTTTATAATATTATCTTTAAACACAGGGATAAGGATATCACCTATATTTATACTGATACCTTCTTCATTGAAAAGGGAATTGGTATTGGGGTAAGTATAATAGCTATATAATCAAATAATCGAATTCTATATTAAGAGTAAAGCAATATTGATATTAATTAATTAATATATAATAAAGAGCTCTTTGGAATTACAAAAGCTATCGAATATGCTAATTCCATTATTTGTAATAATCAAAAGTTCAAGATTTATTTAGATAATCAAACTAATCTATATTGCCTAAAAACTTTTTCAAATCATTTAGGATAGATTTATTAAATAAAAATAATCAAAACAACAAAGGTTATTAAAGCAAAAGGAGCCGAAATCTCGCTAAATTAGATTTCTGGTTATATCTTAATTGAAGGAAATGAATTAGTAGATAAATTAGTTAAGAAAGTAATTATAATACAATCTACCTTGAATGAAATAAACTTTGGACTATTAGATATGATTATTAAGAAATATATTTTAGATTAATAGCTTGATATTTTCAATCAATACAAACTCAGATCAAATCAATCCCTATTAACTTACTTGAAGCTATTTCCTTAGAAAATAGGCTCGAAAATCAAGCTACCAAATGGAATTAATCGAAATATTATTAGTGTATTCTTTCAACTCAAATTAGGTTATGGATATATCAAATTCTATTTATATTGCTTTAAACCTTCCAATAACAAATATATATATAATAATATCGAGGTACTATAATATCTTCTTATTAATTGCTCTATATATAAAACTAAAAGAAAAGAAATCTTTAAGGAAATATCTTTATCCAAAATCACTATACAATTCCTATTTTATATCAAAATTGATATCAAATTAGCCATCAAATTTATCAACATCATCAAAATAGCTACAAGAGCATAGCATCTAGCTAGAGCTCTGATACAAAACAAAATATGAGAAAGAGAGATAATAGAAAAAGAAGAAGATACAATAATAGAGGGAGAAAGAGTTATTATAGAAATAGAAGGAATAGTAATTAAAGAAGAAGAAGAAGAAGAGAAGAGTCTCTTGCTAATTTCTTGAGTGTTATACTTCCCTTTCCTTATTATATGCAATGTGTATAATAAGCGGGTACTAGTCCCCAATATTTGTTTTCACTTCCCTAAATCGAATATATCCATCTTTGTAGAATAAAAAGTTATTTGCTAGAGCCTCTAGAGGCTTAGCCGTCCTATATAGTCTTAGACTGAACGTGGATGTAAATGAAATCAATCAATCAATCAATCAATCTATAAATACTAGCTACAAAAGAGGTCACGTGACCCGCACTAAGTTTCGCTCACATTATCAAGATAATTTCTATTTCATTTATAAGATTGAATTGAAAGTGAAAAAAAGAAAAATCTTCAGTGTAAGTTCTTTAAAAATGTTTATAAGGTATTATTATGATACATTTTTGATATTCTTTTGGAATGAAATAGAATAATTGAATAAAAGGAAGAGAAAGAATATTGGGAGGAATAAGAGAATCTTTTTTATAAATAAATTTTATTTTAGGTAATACCTGCGAGATGCTAATGGTATATTTATTTTATATTATCGAGATGATAATGATGATGTTTTTATATAATGTTTTAGGCTATTTCTAGGATTTTCAGACCTTTTTCCGGATTTTCCGGATTTCCTTTAGGTCTCGAGGATTTAGTAGGAAGCTGATGGAGTTTTGTTATTTTATAAGATTCTTATTAAGAGAACAAAGCTTTTATATAACGCTATACAAAGGAAAGGGTTTAGCTAATCACTTTGTAATTAGTGAAATCATTAATTGAATCTGGTTATAAATGGTCAGTATTTTATTGAGTAGTTTGTGTTTAATCAAAAACAAAATAATGTTTTATTAAAATTATTTACCTAAAGATAGATATAAATAAACTATTTTCGGGATTTCAGGTTTTTCAGAATTTTCAGAATTTCCTTTAGGATTTGAGGACTTAGTGAAAAGCTAGTGAAACTCCACTATTTTTCAGGATTTTCAAGATTTTCAGGATTTTCAGGCCTCTCAAGCATTTTCCGTGTTTTCAGTCATTCCCCGGATTTTCAGGCATTTCCTGACGTTCCGGATTTTCGTCATTTTCCGGATTTGCCTTAGGTTTCGAGGACTCAGCGGGAAGCTGGTGAAGCTCCGCTATTTTCAGTATTTTCCGGCTTTTTCCGGATTTCTCGGATTTTCATTATTTTCGGGATTTTCGGGATTTTGAGAGTATTGACCCAGCTAGCTCATAAAGTTCTTTTATTTTCGGGATTTTCGGGATTTTGAGAGTATTAGCTCGACTAGCTCATAGAGTTCCATCATTTTTCAGGACTTTCAGGATTTGGAATGCTATTTGCCAGCGAATTACTATCGAATTCTAAATTTTATATGTTTTATATACTTTCAAGAACAAAAGTTAAAAAGGGGGAAGCAAAACCCTATCGAATACAAATCATTATCCTACCAAAAGCGAATTGATTTCTTTTTTCGAATTTTTCGAATTTTTCAAGATTTTCAATCTACAAATTATGAATTGGATTATATGAATTGGATTAGTTCTTAGCACTCTTGTACTACGGCATAGCTCCTTTCAGAAACTATAGAAAAGTTGAATCTCATAAAATAAGAATATAGACACTATAATATTAATTTATTACTATAAAAATTAATGAGGTTTAAAAAAAGGATTTGATCTAATAATAATTGGTTATCGAATAGTTTTAAAGTTTTCAAAAACGAAAACTTAGAAGAAAAGGGCTTTATTATAAGTATTAATATAAGATTGATATCGGGTCAATTATTAATCTGAAAGCAAAGAGTTTTTGTATATATATAGTTTCAAAAGAGAGGTTTTAAAAGGATTAATAAAAAATCTTATTATTAGGTTTATACCTATATTATACTGATCGTCATCTTGCATTGATTCTAACAATTTTGGTAAGAAAATTCGCTTAAATTTCAGCCTGACAATTATCAAAAACACGCCCTCGTAATAGGGTTTTGAGGATATAGATCATTTCCAAACCTAAAAAATTGGATCCAAAAATGTATCCCAGGATCACAGAGAGAGATATTGTCTTATGTCCAGGATTCTTATAGAGGGGTATTGCTATACTGTACAACTTACAACTCCCGGGTACAATGACAATCTCGATTTTATGTATACATGGTTTGAAAGCAAGATAATCTTTCGGGGGAAAAGAGGCATTCGAAGCGCGAATCTCTTAGCAATTCCCCACTTCTCATAAGCCGTGGCACGCAGAGCTGAAAACGAAGTGATATATATACTCCACTCTCCTCTTTAATTTGACAATTATCCATCAACGTTCATACAAAAGACTCCTTATATATCTCCTGGCCCATTCTTGAGTGTTCTTATATATAGAGATCTATTTCGTTAATCGAAAATTCGGTCAATCATTCTACTTCATTATGTTACCTCAAGCGCAGTCAGAACCCAAACTCGTAACCCGTACATATAAACCTTTTTCGCCAGAATTTTTTGGACATGTTGAGGAGACTTCGGATGAGGAAAGAACTACGCATGAGGGGAATTGTCATTGTGGTGCCATTGCTGTTAGTACTTTCCTCCTTTCAACAATGTATACTACACGGAATTGTGTAGAACTCGTGTGACGAAAAGCCCCTGACTAACGCCACGCCAGTTCACTGTAACACTCAAATGGCCATTTCCCAAATACACCGTTAATTCATGTACTTGTTCGATCTGTACTCGTAACGGATATTTATTGGTTTATCCCATGAGACAAGATGTTAAATTCTTAGGTGGTAAGATTGAGTTTCTTTCCTCCCCCATTCTTGCAATTTAGTTAATCCTAAAATATATCTAACCAAGCACTAGATTCGGAGGAAAAGATGGGATCTTATAAATGGGGTCACAAAGTTGCAGATCATAGGTTCTGCAAAACTTGCGGGAGTAGTATTATGATTGATCTGCGTCGACCAGAGATGTTTGGGGAAACGGATCCTAGAAAAGATATGTTGGGCATCAATGTGAGTTCATTTTCTCGTGAATTTTTGGATTCTGCATTAGAAAATATCCAAATCTGCATAGCACGTGAATATTTTGGAAGCCAGTGCTTCTGGAATTTTCAATGTTGGTCATCGAAAAATGCAATGGATAGAGGGCCGAATCCTCAACTTACAGGAAGGAACAAAATATCAATCGAAGGAGTATCATTCATGGACTAACACTGAACAGATACGAAACTTCAAAAACGTCGATCTTGATGCAATGAGTTATACTTATTTCGATGGGAAGAATCTCATCTAATTTGGCAATTCTCCTTATCCTGAAACGCAAGCTGGACTCATGTTCTAGAGCAGCGTTCAGAGGGGCTCTGAAGAACATCTCAAGGTGAGATGCTTACTATCTTAGAACTTCTCAATTGAACCGTTGTGTTTATTGCCGATTCATGTTTAAAAAATGTTGTAAAATCTACAGACTAGCATCTATAGATTGTATACAGGGAGGAAGGATGCATCCGTAAGGCGTAGCACCTACATGTTGGTTCCTTAAACATCATGTAAATAATTCACAAAAAGGCGTGGAGAAAAGAATTACCGCTTCAGTATTTCACTCTGTGCCTCAATTATATATCAATATGTTTAGATCATGGTTGTCATGCATTGAAATCTAAAAATATGTTGGGTGTATCGGCAAATGTTATGTGCTTTGGTTACCAACTGTCTGCATTGCACTCTCATCATAAGTAGTTTTGAGTTTTCCATACTTTCTTGTTACTTGAATAGTTTCCATATAATCCGAGTCTTGTTCCATAGCATTGACTGAAGTTCCATCCCTATCCAACATCTTTTCTCGATTTCCATTTTCAATTACTGCAATCCTCATTATCAACCCATCCAATTCCCTACCCAAATCTCCAAAAGTACATAAGATCCACCAACAATGTCTCAATCCCTTCCGTCGACGTCCTGATTATCGGCGGCGCCCCCCCCGGCCTAACAGCTGCATCTACTCTCGCCAGTCAACTCCACACAGCCATTGTATTTGATTCCGGCGACTACCGCAATCTCGAAGCATCATACATGCACATGGTGTTAACATGGGACCATAAATCTCCCCAGCAGCTTCGAACTTTTGCAAGACAAGAGATCGAAAACAACTACAACACTATCAAATTCGAAGATGTCGATCGAATTGAAAACAGTCAAACAGACCGAGGCTGGGTTTGAGGTTGCAGATGGAAATGGAAAAACTTATCCTGGCTACTGGGTCCGCGAATGATTTCCCAGATATCCCGGGATACAAAGAGTGCTGGGGAACAGGAATGTAAGTTGTATTCACCTCAGATACGTGCTTGTACTGATAAATAAGCTTCCATTGTCTCTTCTGTCATGGATACGAGGAAAGAAACTCATCGTCCGCTGGTGTTCTTGCACTCCAATCTCAAGCTTATTATCAAATGGCTATTCACATGGCCGAGACTGCGAGCTCTCTAAGTCAAAAAGTCACCATCTACACAAATGGAGTTGAGACCCTTGGGGAAGAAATCAGCACCGCTCTTAAAGCTTCTTCCAAAGCCTCCGACAAGTTCGCAGTTGATAATCGCAAGATTTCCAGTCTCGTCAAAGGCGATCAAGGGGCCGAAGTTATCTTCAAACTTGAGGATGGTGCGAAGACCGAATCCTTTGTCACCCACAACCCTAGCACCCACACCAAAGGACCTTTTGCAGGGCAGCTCGGTTTGAAACATACACAAACGGGTGATATTGATTCCTCCGCTCCATTTTTTACCACAAGCGTGAGAGGTGTGTTTGCGGCGGGCGATTCTATTACTCCTTATAAGGTAGTCAATTGTGCTCTTTCAAGCGGTTGCAACGCGGCGGTTGCGGCTGTCGCCCAGCTTAGAGCGGAAGATTTGGGACATCAGCCGTTCTTTTGAAAAGGCTTAGGGATAAGCCTTGATGCAGTGAGTTGAGATTTATAGATATTTATCTGTTGTATGATCGTAGATATAAGTATAAGTAAGTATCATCAAATTCTACTATCGTATAGAAATCTTATAATGAATAATGTAAAGCTCATGTTTGATTGATTGATTGATTGATTGATTGATTGATTTAATTTAACGTCCCGCTTCAGTCCATGACTATATAAGACGACTAGGCCATAAGGGCACTAGCGGATAACTTTTGAAGTACACAATGGGAATGAAATAATGAGGAAAGTGAAAACAAATACTGGGGCATAACGCCCACTATTGTATATAGTCCATATAATAGATTTTGAAAAGAATTTTACCCCTCTCTCTCCTCTCTTTCATCTCTCTCCTCTCTCTCCTCTCATATCTCTCCTTCTAGCTCTCTAATTACTCTCTCTCCTTCGCTTATTGAATCTTCCTCTTCAACTATTTCGTTTTGAGTTTCGGCTCTAATTAGATACCAGATCCTTGTAGCAATTTTGATAGTATTGATGAATTTGGTTGCTAATTCGATACCTATTTTCGTGTATAGCAGGAATTGTAGATTGGTTTGGGATATTAGTAGGTTTTTGAAGATTTCTTTCCTTTCTCTTTTGTATATCGAATATCCAATCAGAAGATAAGCAGCAGTTTCGATATTGTTGTAGATATACTTATTGTTGAAAAGCTTGAATCGCTACAAATAGAACTTAATATATCCATAACCTAACTTGAGTTGAAAAAAGACATTAGCAGTATTTCGTTTTGTGCCTTCTGGAAGCTTGATTTTTGAGCCAATTTTTTATGGAAAGAGTTTCGAATAGATTATATCGGATTGATTTGATCTGGATTCGTATTGATTGAGAATATCAAGTTATTGATTAGTATTGTATTCCTTTATTATTATATCAAATAGTTCAAAACTGGTTTCGTTTGAAATAGAACATATTGCTATAGCTTCTTTTACTAGTTTATCTACTAGCTCATTTCCTTATACAGATGTATACTCTGAAACCTAATTTAGAGAGACTTCGGCTTTTATAACCTTAATTGCTTTAGCAGCTTTTATAGTTCGTATTTGATATACTTACTCTAGGTAATCTAAAGGGATTTTTAATCAATAAAGCCCAACCTGATTGTCTAAATAGATTTTGTGTTTTTGACCTTCGTATACAAGGGAACTAGTATATTCAATAACTTTCATTACTTTATACAGTTCTCCATTATAGACCAATTGATTAATTCCGATATTTTTGTATTCTTGATGTAGTATATAACTATTTAGTTGTATTACAACTATATCTACTTTTATTCTTATTTCTTTTTTAGTGGAAGAGATATCGGTATATATATAGATTGTATTTTTGTCTTTGTATTTAAATATAATATTATGGAGTATAGCTATATCTTCTTTAGAGGCCTTACTAATATTGATTTTGTATAAAGTATTCCTTTTCTATAAAGGGAAATTGAAATATGAAATCTTTTCAAGTATAATGTATTCGATATCTTTGTATATTGATTCTTTAATTCTGTTTAATTGAATAGACTTAAATCGTTTCCTTTAAGGAGTGGATATCGATTCGTAATCATTTTGATATTGAGTTAATAATTCCTTTTTCGTATTGATTAAATGATTGGGTGAAAGTTTAGCTAATCGAAAGACATATTGTTTGATATTAAAATCAAACTAGATTTTTACTGGTTTTAGCCCTGCTTCGACTTCCATTAAAAGTGTTGGAAATCACATGTGTAGCACGTGTGTGGCACGTGTACACTACTATAAAACTCCTTCTTCGGACTTTTCGGATATATAGATCTGATATATATATTTCAATATATTACTTCTTATATGTAACTTACTGTTTATTTCTAATAGGTTACAAGTGTTACATCATTATAAGCTTCATTTTATATCTTTATATTCCTTGAGTTTCGAGTTCTCATTTCTTTATAACTATCTCCATTCTTGATATTATAATAAGCAAGACTATTATCGATATAATTTAAACAAAATGGGGAACATTAATTACTTTTAATGATTATAACTGGATAGATTTCTATAAAACTATTCAAACTACTATAATAATAATATCTGCATTGTTCTTGTGTATGGGGAAAAGCATAAGACCAGCAAATTTTTTATTTATTTATAGTGATTAACATCTAATATCTGACCTCCCAAGGGGTATTCTAGATGTACTAAGGAGCAGGCCTACAGGCCGCTAGTATTCCAGCCACTCATAGTAGTGTAATGTTAGCTAATCAAGGGCTTATTGCTTTTAATGTTTCCTTATTCAATATTGCTTATAGCAATCCTATAACTATTCTGTCTAAAGGTTTGTAGTTCTATTTTAGAGAACCTTGTTTCGTATACCATCTAGATATTAGCGAATAATCAGGTTAATTACTGTCGATCAAAAGAGCACTCAAAGTACTTATAACTGATTAATACGAGTCTTAGATTGATTAGGGTGGAGAACTTATCCTTAGAGTATTAGAACAGATTGGAATTCGTGTAGTTTCGTATAGTTTAAATATATCCTAATATAGAATCTGGATTTAGCGAAAAGGTCAGTAAAACTATATTATATTCGCAGAATATGATTGATATATGCTATCGCGTTTTATTTGGATCGAAATCGATTTGGTATAAGCAGTTAATTGTTATACGTTTGATTATTGATTGAATATTGAAAGAAATACAATAGGCTTTTCTTATTCCTATATATATAAGTATTTGTACTATTTTTATAATTGAATCTAATATGATAAATTGCAAAATCACCATATCCAATTCATATCGCTATGAGTCTGTATAGTATTCTGCAAGAGAGCTTGAGGCTTCCCGATTCCAAGGTATTATATACTGATTTCTATATATTGTATATTTCGGAGATCAGGCCTCTTTTTTTCTTTTATTATCTGCTCTTGAAGCGCTGATATTTGGCATATAGGATAGAGCGGGAGCTGCTGATTGTGGGGAGGTAGGATGGGCCAGGGTTAAGTGGCCCAGCTGTATTCTAATTAGCGAGGCGATCGGCTACCTCGTTGCCCTCAATCTCAGTATGCCCAGGGGATTATTTGATTATAATATTGTAATATTGTATTGCTTGATAGTATTTGTAGTATACTTATTGAAAGGAGGCAGTAATACTTCCTTGTATTTTCCAGATTACTAAGATGTTATTAATGTATAACCATATTTGTTCCTGATAAGAGTAATCAATAATGAAGATCTAAGTACTTCTAATACTGGATCGATAGCTAGATACAATACTAAGCTAGCGAATTGGGAAAAGTTCGAATCAATACTCAAATCGGAATCCTTATATTCCCCTATTCTGTCTAATTTAGAATTAATCATTCCAATCAAAAAGGATTCCTTAAACCTTTTGAAAGATAAAGACAATCACTATCTAACTCTAGATCAAGCAGCAAGCGAACTTACTAGGATCATTCAAAAAGCAATAGAAAAGTGTATACCTAAAATTGTTTTAATCAAAAGGGCTAAACCATAATAAACACCTAAATTGAAAGATCTCCGAAAAAAACTAAGAAAAGCAAAGTAAAGAATTGAATCAGATCTGGAGAATTATAGCTCTAAGGAAGGATATCGAATTGCTAGAAACAAGTACTTTCAAGCTATTAAAATAGTAAAGAAGGATTATTGGAATAAGTTTCTAGAAAAGAAGGATATAAAGATAATTTTCAAAGCAATAGCCTATACTAAAGACTTTCAAGATCAAAGAATACCAGATATTGCAACAGAAAGCTCTTTCGAAAGAAAATGCTCTGCTTTCAGATCAATTCTGTTCCCACCCCCTCCTATTACCCCAAAACCACAATGGGAAGGGTATAAACAATTCAAGAAATGGGAATGGCCTAATCTCACTCAAATCGAATTAAGCAATGCCTGTTCAGCCAAAATCCAAGGAAAAACCCCTGGCTTAGATGGAATCACTCAAGAGATTATTATAAAGGCTTACAAAGCAATCCCACATACCTTTTTTACTCTCTTTAGTAAACTTATTAATCTAGGATATCACCCGAAATGTTGGAAACAAGCCACAGAAGCTATTCTAAAGAAAGCTTCCAAATCAGATTATTCCCTTCCAAAAGTATATAGAGTAATTACACTTTTAAATTGCCTGGATAAAATAAGCAAAAGGATTCTAACTCAACGATTAGAATATTTAGCAAAAACAACCTATCTCCTTCACAAGAGTCAAATAGGAGAACGCTAAAAGAAATCAGTAATCGATGTTGCACTTTTACTGATTACAGAAATCGAAAGAAACAAGCAAGTTAGTAAAAAGACCTCAATATTATTTATGGATATAAAGGGAGCATTCGATTACATTTCGAGAAATCGATTATTAGATATTTGTAAGAAGCTAAAACTGCCCACAAATCTGATAGTCTGGATAGCCTCATTTCTTCAATAAAGATAATTGAAATTATCTTTTAATAATCAAATCGAATCTTTCAAACCAATTTCAACCGGAATACCATAAGGTAGCCCGATTTCTCCAATTCTCTTTCTTATATATATCAGGGAGCTCTTTTTACCCAATTCGATCAAGTTTCTTTTTTATATAGATGATATTGCTTTAATCATATATTTATCTATATAAAAAAAGAATATCAAAATCCTAGAGAGAGTTACAAAACAAATCTATAAACTCAGTTCTAGAAATATAATCCAATTCGATTTAGCAAAAACAAAGCTAATACACTTTTCATTATCCAAATTAACAAAAAAATATCCAATCATGCTATCCAATTCGGAAATAATTGTACCCCAATCTCTTATTAGATGGCTGGGAATATGGTTCAACCCGAACCTCAAATTCGATTAATATGTTAATATTCAAATCACACAAGCAAAAGGTGCCTTCCATCAAATAGCTCGATTAGCTAATACTGAAAAGAGTCTTAATCCTAAAGCCCTTAGATAATTATATATAGCATGTATAACC